CGACCAGCTCCGCTCCCTCCACCACCTCCGCCTCCTCCACTGCCGCCTCCACCGCCTCCACCACCTCCACCTCCGCCGCCTCCACCTCCGCCGCTGCCACCTCCACCACCGCTGCCACCACCACCACCGTCTCCGCCGCTGCTGCCACCACCACCACCACCACCACTACTCCCGCCGCCACCCCCACTCCCGCCGCCGCCACCGCCGCCACCTCCACCGCTCCCTCCAGCTCCCCCCGCTCCCTTGCCCCCCTTGCCCTTGCTAGACCGACGTCTCCCACTAGGGGCAGACGCCGCGCCGACCGACTCAAGACCAAGTAGGTCGGCAGTAGCAGCAGAGGCAACAGAGGGCAGCAAGGGGGAAGGAGAGCACCCCTCAAAGATGGGGGTGCGAGGGTCACCACGAGAAGCCCCTACAGCAACTATGCTCTTCTCAGCTGAGAGGAGGGCCTTCTCGAGGAGTTCGACGGTGAGAGTGGTGGGACAGACTGCGAGAAAGTGGTCCCTGACTACACGAAGGGAGTCAGGGAGGCGCGCGACTACGTAGTAGAGAGTGATGTACATGGGGGGGGGGTTCTTAGCACAGAACTCAGCAGGAAGGGCGGCGCGGTAGCGAGTGTCACTAGTGCGGAGGTGCGTAATGAGGTCAGCAACAGTCGGAAAGGCAGAGAGGTCAGGAAAGAGGTAGGGAAGCATGAGACGGCTCAGTGCAGCAGTGGCAGGGGAGGAGTAGCGCGCAACTACAGCGTCGTACAAGGTCTGAGCACTCTTGTACTGACTAAAGTGCGCACGCTCAGAGGTAGGGAGGTGGCGACGCACAGCAAGACGTGCAGCAGCATCGCGGGTGGCCCACTGGGAGCGGACAGTGGGATCAGCATCAGCAGCAGGAGCAGGAGAGGCGCCAGAGGTGAGGTCAAAGAGAGAAAGGTCGTCAGCTCTGTCGCACTGTAAGAACAGCTGCAGGTCGTCTAGCCAGACCTCAAAATCAATGGCGCGACCCTCAGCGTCAAAAGCTAGGACACTAGGGGTAGCCATGGCGACGACTGTGAAGCTGTGCAAGCAGTAGGGGAAGAGCACGCAGTGACAGTGGGACTGTGCTCACCAGGCAGGGCAGGTCGCGTAGCTCGACAGAAAGGCAGCTCGGCGACCGGGCGGCTCGGGTGCACAGCGGCTCGGCTCCCGGGCGGCTCGGCGGCAGGGCGGCTCGGGGGCAGGGCGGCTCGGCTCCCGGGCGGATCGGCTGCAGGGCGGCTCGGCTCCCGGGCGGCTCGGCGGCCGGGCGGCTCGGCTGCACTGCTGCTCAGAGGTCCGCCCGCACAGTCGCTACAGGTGGACGGCGGGGCCGATGCGTAGTGGGCGGCGAAGCCGCGGTTGAGCAGGCGGCGGCCGCAGCCTAGTGGGCTCGGAGGCCGCGGTCGTAGCAGGCGGCGGGGCCGTGCGAGCAGGCGGCTGGGGCCGCGGTAGTAGGTGGGCGGCGGGGCCGCGCGAGAAGACGGCCGGGGCCGCTACAGTAGCGGGCGGCGGGGCCGCGGTCGAACAGGCGGCTGGCGCCGCCGTCGTAGCAGGCGGCGGGGCCGTGCAAGCAGGCGGCCGGGGCCGCGATCGTAGTAGGCGGCTGGGGGCCGCGGTCGAGCAGGCGGCTGAGGCCGCGGTAGTAGAGGGCGGCGAGGCCGCGCTAGCAGGTGGCCGGGGCCGCGACAGTAGCGGGCAGCGGGGCCGCGGTCGAACAGGCGGCTGGGGGCCGCGGTCGAGCAGGCGGCCGGGGCCGCGGTAGTAGCGGGCGGCGAGGCCGCGCGAGCAGGCAGCCGGGGCCGCGACAGGAGCGGGCGGCGGGGCCGCGGTCGAACAGGCGGCTGGGGCCGCGGTCGTAGCAGGCGGCCGGGGCCGCGATCGTAGTGGGCGGCGGCCGCGGCGTAGCGGGCGGCAGGGCCGCGTCGAGCAGGCGGCTGGGGCCGCGTCGAGCAGGCGGCTGGGGCCGCGATCGTAGCGGGCAGCTGGGGCCGCGACTTAGTGGGCGGCCGGGCCGCGTGTGGGAGGGAGGCGACACGGAGGGTCGCTCGAGAGCGGAAAAAAAAAATGTTGAGCGCGCCTCGGGGCGCGCTTCGGTGGGCCCTAGGCAGAGTTCCACAGGGAACCCGCTCTATACCATGTGAAAATGAGTAAGCAGGAAATGATTGACTATGAAATGAAATCAGTACAAGTATCAAACCCTAACTGGTTGTACCCCCTACGGTATACCCCACTACAGCCTACACAACAGTATAAGCTGTATATATGTTCTGACACCGTCCACCTGGCTTCACTGGGACTTTCCCTCCTGGCACCCAGTGGAGCCTCCGTCGGCCTGTCTACGGTCTCCGCCAGGCACCGCGTGAGTGGCACGACACACTGAGGACTACGCTTGCGGCTCTTGGGTTCGCTCCTTCTACTGCTGACCCGTCGCTGTTTCTGCGCACCGACACTTCTCTGCCGCCGTTCTACATCCTCGTGTACGTCGACGACTTGGTCTTTGCCACAGCGGACACTGCTGGACTCACCTACGTGAAGTCCGAGCTGCTGAAGAGACACACGTGCACAGACCTGGGTGAACTGCGCAGCTACCTTGGCTTGCAGATCACTCGGGACAGAGCACGCCGCACCATTACCTTGACTCAGTCACACATGGTGCAGCAGGTCCTTCAGCGCTTCGACTTCACGTACTCCTCGCCTCAGGCCACTCCTCTGTCTACTCGCCACTTGCTCTCAGCTCTGCCTTCGGATGAGTCCGTAGAGTCGAGTGGCCCGTACCCAGAGCTTGTTGGCTGCCTCATGTACCTGATGACTTGCACACGACCTGACCTTGCATACCCTCTGAGCATTCTTGCACGCTATGTTGCTCCTAGGAGACACCGACCAGAGCACATGGCTGCAGCGAAGAGGGTGTTGCGCTACGTGTGCAGTACGTCGGGCATGGGGCTAGTGCTTGGAGGGCGCAGTCCAGTGGTCCTTACACGGCACGCGGACGCTTCTTGGGCTGACGACCAGGCTACGCAGCGGTCGTCACAGGGTTACACCTTCCGTCTTGGTTCCGGCTCTGTTTCGTGGCGGGCTACTCGCTCGTCTTCGGTTCTCAGCTCCGGTTGTGAGGCTGAGATCTATGCTGGGGCCATGGCTGCACAGGAGCTTCGCTGGCTCACCTACCTGCTGACTGACCTTGGAGAGCCGCCTCGTTCTCCTCCAGTGCTGTACGTAGACAACAAGGCCATGCTGGCCTTGTGTCGAGAGCAGCGTCTGGAGCACAGAACGAAGCACATTGCTCTTCGCTACTTCCTTGCTCGTGAGCTGCAGCAGCGTGGACAGTTGCGGCTTGCGTACGTGGCCTCTGAGGCCAACACTGCTGATGTGTTCACCAAGGCACTCGCGCCTTGTGACCATCAGCGCCTCTGCACCCAGCTGGGTCTTGTGCCTGTCTTGCCTCACTTGCTCTCCTCTTGACTTTACTTGTACTGTGACATATATATATACCTGCTCTTGCTTGTCTAGTTTTATATACATATATATATGTCTGTACTCCTGCATGTGAACTGGCCTCTGGTCGTGCTCTTGTGCTCGGACTGTGTGGTGACTTTGTGATCCACCCCGAGCTTGCTTTGCTTTGCTTTGCTTGACTGGTCTTGTGACCCCTTGTTCTCCCCCACTTTGCCTATGGGGGTGTGTCATAACATATCTATAGCTTATACTATTGTGTAGGATGTAGTGGGGTATCCCATAGGGGGTACAACCCAGTTAGGGTTTCATATTTGTACTGCCTTCATTCATAGTTCACATATTCCTGTTCACTTCTTTCACAGGTAGCACCTGGACATGACATGGCCATTGGAGCTCGGCAATTGAGATGGCCTTCCTGCGAAGTCTGGACATGGACAGCCCCAAAAGTGCAGATTTTTTTGTCCACCCTAGCAGCTTCCACGTCTACCCCATGTGCAAGTCGATTCTGATGTGTGTGATCGTTAGGAGTATGCGAAACCTAACGCCCAATCAGATTTGCATGCGCGACTCAATTTACAGTCAGCGTTCGCAGCCCTAAACCCTCGACAGTTTCTCGCCACGCGTCAAAGGGTCTCATCGTGGGGGGTCTTTGCTTGTTCAGGGTCTGTGAACTCACGCGATGTCCAGATTCGTTGCCTTCCACCTCATCACAATGACTACTCACTTGCACGTGCGAAGTGCACTTTTCGCTGTCCCTACTTCGAAGTTGGGACAGCCCAGGAAGGCGATCTGAGTTGCGAGTTGCCAAGTACATGGACCAGAAGAAGGGCGCGCCCTGCCTTGCTATCGCCGACGGTGTTCGCCACTTCGTGCGTCACATTTCCCATGCCATACACAGTAGACTTGGCCAAGTCGGTTTACGCTACGGGACTAGCCCGGACCTCGTTGCCAGCGTCGCACTAGCTAGCTCGCGCGCTCCGGTTACCGTTTGCTATGTTCGCTATATATGTTCGCTCACACTTGTACTCGTTTGACTCTTTAGTGCTATCTTCACTCGCGCTTTCAAGTGCACAAGCAACACTCATGAATTTATCCCACTCATGTATAATGCAATGTTGCAGATTAACAGTGCAGCAGCTTGTAGTCGAGGTTTTTCGCACAACTTCATCAAGACATAAATCTGCGGCCAGGTTCCACAGCGTTATCCGAACTCCTGTTACCCGCATCGCATCGCCACCTGCTTTTCAAAAGAGTGTTCCCTCCCTACCCAGTCAACAACTTCGTGCCTCTCTCTCATCGCTGCTGCGTGCAACCAAACCAGCACGTCCATTTCCACCTCCATTTTCTGACGACTCATGTATTTCCAGCAACTTCACAATCACCTCTGCAGGTTTTTTTTTTTTTTTCGCGTCACCTTCCACGAGCACTATGCCTGTTGACTGTGATAGCGTTTGTGTCTGACGTCTCAAAAGGTAGTGTCAGAAACCGCGGGAACACGACGCTCGCCTGCTCCCTTGCCGGCAGGGCGAGCGCATGGAGGCATATCCTGTGTCGCGCCACCCGCTGCACCCCCGCTTGCACTCTGGAACCACCCTACGCGCCCCCCCCTCCAACCACCAATGGCGGCCCTTAGTTCCGCCGTCTCGCTATCAGCTTCTCCGTTGTTCTATATCGCTACGGCTGTCGCGGCTACCCGGTCGGCAGAGCGGGAGCGTCCCGCGGAGCCGCAGTCACTCCAGCCGGTTCGTCGCCGCCGCGAGCGGCGAAGAACCGAATGGAATTGTTGCGAACGATGCAGATAATATTGGGGATAAGAGTGCAGGGGGGAGTGAGAAGGCAGAGAGCGCGGAGCTGGCGGGCATCCTGGCGCGCGTTCACGAGGAGATGGCGGAAGCCACCCGCGCCCAGGCGGACGGGCGCGCGTCGGTCCTGCGGAGCATGGGGCGCGAGGGCGACGGGGAGAGCGCAGCGGGCGAGCAGCTTCTGCTGGAGCTGCTGCAGGCGGAGGAGCAACGGCGCATGCGCGCGCCGGGGGACGCGGAGGAGTCGGAGGAGGAGGCGGGGTTTTGGGAAGGAAGCGACGTCGCGCAAGGTGGAAAGGAGTACAGGTGGGCGCGAAGAGGGGCGAAAGCGAGTTGAGGGGAGTGAGTAAGGTCGCTATGCGTCACCCAGTACTGACCAAGTACCATGTACCATCCTCCCAATGCCCCTCACTCCACGCGCTCCTCTTCTGCTTTGCCCGTGCTCTTGCTTGCGCCCCCATGTCCTTCCCCCCCTTTTCCGCCGCCTGCAGGCTGCCCCCCTCCTTCTCCGCACTTGCCACTGGCTCGCCCGCGGTCCTCCCCGCCGCTTCTGCAGCGCCTGCTGCCGCTGGCGGCGATGGGGGGAGTGATGAGAGCAGGGGCGCGCGGATCGAGGGGGGAGGCGAGGGCGCGGGTCAGCGCGAGACGCGGCAGGAGCAGGGGGAGGGGGCGGGTGGCGAGGAAGGGGGCGGAGGGGTGGGGGAGGGGGAGAAGGAGGTGCCGGAGGGGTCAGTGGTACGGGAGCAGCTGGGCGGGCGCCCAGAGCTGTGGCGCGGCGTGCACGTGGCTGGGGCAACGTGGGCGGGCGCGGGCGCGGGGGTAGCGCAAGGGGAGGGGGATGGGCTAAGGCGAGGGGAGAGACCGGGGGAAGGAGGAGGGGGAGGGGCCGCGGCAGGGCAGAGCGGAGGGGGGGAGGCAGGGGCGGGCAGCGGGACGTACCTGCAGGCGCGCGAGCTGCTGTCGAATATGGCCAGGAGCATGGAGCAGCTGGAGAGCGGGCTCTCCGCCCGCCACAAGGTAGGCCTCTCCGCCCGCCACAAGGTACCCATGTGGGCCGCCATGCCCCGCCACCGTGCTGCCCACTACGTTGAGTCCAATCGAGCCCCATTTGGGGGCCATTGTTCAATACCAGTAGAGCCTGCATGCTTGTCCCGTTACCGTACACACACACGCATCACACGCACACACACACTCACCCCCACGCCTACTCTCTCCCCCGTGCGTGGCATGGCATGGCATGGCATGGCGTGGCGTGGCATGGCATGGCATGGCGTGGCGTGGCGTGGCATGGCATGGCATGGCGTGGCGTGGCGTGGCATGGCATGGCATGGCGTGGCGTGGCATGGCATGGCATGGCATTGCGTGGCGTGGCATGGCATGGCATGGCATGGCATGGCATTGCGTGGCGTGGCATGGCATGGCATGGCATGGCATTGCGTGGCGTGGCATGGCATGGCATGGCATGGCATGGCGTGGCGTGGCATGGGATGTCATGGCATTGCGTGGCGTGGCATGGCATGGCATGGCATGGCATGGCGTGGCATGGCATGTCGTGGCGGGTGAGCAGGAGATGGGCGAGTCCACGCAGTTCATCTCGGGCATCCGCTCCAGCGACCCCGCTGCCGGCCAGGTGGGCGCCAGGCCACGTGGGTGGGTGGCAGGGCGTGTGGGTGGCAGGGCACGTTGGGGGCAGGGCATGGCAGGGCACGCGGGTGGGTGGCAGGGCGTGTGGGTGGGAGGGCACGTGGGTGGGAGGGCACGTGGGTGGCAGGGCGTGTGGGTGGCAGGGCACGTGGGTGGCAGGGCACGTGGGTGGCAGGGCACGTGGGTGGGGCTATCCGTGGGTGGTGGGGTGCGGTGCGGGGATGGGGTTGGTGTGCCTGATTTCTGTGCTCCTAATGTGCAGCATTGGTGGCGCCGGCAGCATGCAGGGGTCACTGGAGGGAGCAGCAGGGGTCACTGGAGGGAGCAGCAGGGGTGACTGGAGGGAGCAGCAGGGGTGAGTGGAGGGAGCAGCAGGGGTGAGTGGAGGGAGCAGCAGGGGTGAGTGGAGGGAGCAGCAGGGGTGAGTGGAGGGAGCAGCAGCCTGGGTGTGGTAGCAGTGCGTTTGCACCCCGCATGGGGCACATGCTCTCCGCTTGTGTGAGGCAGCATGCGACTGCAACCTGCCAGCTGCTGACATGTGCTCTATGCTGGGCATGGGGCGTGGCATGAGAATGGGAATGGGAATGGGAACGTATGGGCATGGCATGGTTGGGCATGGCATGGTGGGGCATGACATGGCATGGCATGGCAGGGCGCAGTGGTGCGGAGAGCGGAGGAGATGGTGGCGCGCATGCAGGTGCAGTTCGCGGCCATGGAGAAGGAGGCGGCCCACAAGGACACCGTGCTTGACCGCCTGCTCGCGCACGCCAAGTCCACCAAGCAGGTGCGCCCTTCATGAAGTGCGCCCTTCATGAGGTGCGCCCTTCATGAGTTGACGTTTGAGTCGACTCATCAGTCACCTCGTTCGCGGCCATGGAGTAGGAGGCGGCCCACAAGGACACCGTGCTTGACCGCCTGCTCGCGCACGCCAAGTCCACCAAGCAGGTGCGCCCTTCATGAGGTGCGCCCTTCATGAGTTGACGTTTGAGTCGACTCATCAGTCACCTCGTTCGCGGCCATGGAGTAGGAGGCGGCCCACAAGGACACCGTGCTTGACCGCCTGCTCGCGCACGCCAAGTCCACCAAGCAGGTGCGCCCTTCATGAGGTGCGCCCTTCATGAGTTGACGTTTGAGTCGACTCATCAGTCACCTCGTTCGCGGCCATGGAGTAGGAGGCGGCCTACAAGGACACGGTGCTCGCCCGCCTGCTGGCCCACGCCAAGTCCACCAAGCAGGTGCGCCCTTTGAGTCCAAGCAGGTGCGCCCGTCATCCAAGCAGGTGCGCCCTTCATCAAAGCAACCATCATGCCACCTGCTCCCTCTGCCCTTGACCCATGGCACCCTTGACCCATGGCACCCTTGACCCATGGCACCCTTGCTCCCTCCTGTCCGTTCTCCTCTCCCTACTTCCTCGCCTCGCTTTCTTTTCTTCATTCCTGCTTTCCACTCAGATGTTTTCTTCCTGCCTCTGTGCGCGCGCTGCGCGCGTCTCTGTGTGTCTGTGTGTGTGTTGTGTTGTGTTGTGTGTGTGTGTGTGTGTGTGTGTGTGTGTGTGTGTGTGTGTGTGCATGCGTGCGTGCGTGCATGCGTGTGTGTGTGTGTGTGTGTGTGCGTGCGTGCGTGTGCGTGCGTGCGTGCGTGTGCACTGGTGCATGTGGCGGGGCGGCGAGCAGCAAATGAGGGCGGTGGAGGAGCGGTCGCGAGTGGAGAAGGACGCGTTGAGGCGGGAGATGACGGAGCAGCAGCAGCGCATGCAGAAGGTGCGGCACACACTGCCTACTCCATCACCCGCACTGCACCGTACTCTACCGCATTCAACATCCATATTGCACCGTACTCTACCGCATTCAACATCCATACCCTCACAGCTCTCACCGTGTCTTTCCTTCATCGCCCACCATCCACTGTCCCCCTCACTCACATCCTTTTCCGTCCTCTTACCCGTATCCCCTGCCTCTCCCACATTCCCCTTCCTCCTTTCCTCTCCCCCACACCACCCCACCACCCCTCGAACCCACGTGGGCGTGCGAGCGAGGCGAGCAGGAGCTGGAGACAGCGGCGGGGCGGGAGGAGCGGATGAGGCGGCAGCTGATGGAGGCGCAGGAGGGCATCGCGCACCGGGACGCCTTCCTGCAGCAGCTGCAGGAGGAGGCCGCCCTCTCCGCCTCCGCGCTCAAACAGGCCGCCAGGGTGGGTGGGCTGGGGGGGATGTGCGTTGCTTTTCGCCTCACAAGGGTTGTGCTGCGCTGCGCCGGCTGGTGTCAGATGGGGTGCGGTGGGGTGGGGTGGGGTGGGCAGTGGTGGCGCGGGTAGGAAATCACTTAGATGACTGAGTGCCGGCATGTTCCAGCAGCAGTACCTATTTCTCCATGCCTTACGCCCTGCTTCCCTTCCCTGCCACCCGTCATCCCCGCTCCCTGCTTTCCCGTGGTGCCGTGCCCCTGTGTGCCGTGCCCCTGTGTGCCGTGCCCCTGTGTGCCGTGCCCCTGTGTGCGGGGCGGGGCGGGCGAGCAGGCGATGGTGGCGGCGCGGGACCGCACGTTGAGGATAGAGGAGCAGCTCGAGTCGATGGGAGACCAGCTGGCCAAGGAGCGCGCCAAGACCCGCCGCGAGCGCGAAAACACCGCGCGTGTTACCGCCGTGCGTGCACTGCACTGCTGCGCATTCTGCATCAGCATTGCCTGCTACCGCTCCTGATTCCATCACGTACCATTTCTCCACGCATCCCGCGTTGCTCCCCAATTGTTTGCATCCTCATCCCTCGCCACATCCCACCTTCTCACCCTCTCTCTCCCCCCACCCCCCCTTCTCCCCGGTGATGTGGGGGTGGCGTGGGGTGGGCGGTGACAGGAGCTGGCGGAGGCGCGCATGGCGGCGGAGGAGATGGCGGGGCGGGTAGGACGGCTGGAGAGCGAGGTGCAGCGCAAGGAGCGTGAGATGCAGCAAAGCCGCCATGAGGCGGACGCTGTCAGGGCGCAGCTTAAAGCCACCCAGCAGGTCAGGGCGCAGCTTAAAACCACCCAGCAGGTAGGCAGGGCGAGCGGCCGTGGAGGGGCGAGCGAGGGGGTCAATTGGTGTGTGAGTGGGGAGGGGTTGAGTGAGGGTGTCAACCTGTTTATTCCGAGACGAGCTCTGTCCTGCCCCACTGTCTTGCTGCCCGTCACATCACCTCAACCTCTCCTCCCCTCTGTTCCGTGCTTCCTTGCCCCCAGGCGTTGGAGGAGGCAGCGCGGCAGGCGAGGGAGGCGCAGGCAGGGAGGCAGCAGGCGGAGGCAGCGGCAGAGGAGGAGCGGGCGGCGGCAGCAGCGGCGGTGGAGGGGCAGCAGAGTGCAGAGCAGCGCCTGAGGGAGGCGCAGGCGCGGGTGGAGCTGCTGCAGGGCGAGGTGGTGTCGCTCAAGGTGGGGCGAGGTGGGGCGAGGTGGGGCGAGGTGGTGTCGCTCAAGGTGGGGGCGGGGGGGAGACAGAGGGGGTTGTTGGGATCCCGAGGTGGAATGAAAGTGACGTGTGGGCTGTTGGGGTGTGCTGTTGGGCTGGGCTGTTGGGGTGGGCTGTTGGGGTATGCTGGAGGTGCTTGAAGAGCACGGGTTGGCTTGAAGAGCACGTGGTTGGCTTGAAGAGCACGTGGTTGGCTTGAAGAGCACGTGGTTGGCTTGAAGAGCACGTGGTTGGCTTGAAGAGCACGTGGTTGGCTCAACTGATAAAGCACATGATGGGGTTGTGCTTGTTAACACCCCTGGCCTGTGCAGCCCTTTCATCCACCAGTGGTACTTTGCTACTGTCTCTCTCTCCCCACCCCTCCCCCCTCTCCACCTCGCGTCCTTGTGCTCCCGTCCCATGTGGTGTGTGTCGTGTGTGTGTGTCGGCGGGCAGGAGGTGGCGTTGAGCAAGGACTCGCTACCCTCTCTCTCTCTCTCTCTCTCTCTCTCTCTCTCTCTCTCTCTCTCTCTCTCTCTCTCTCTCTCTCTCTCTCACTCCCCACCCCTCTCCCGTGTGGTGCGTGTGCGTTTGTGTGGGCGTGCAGGAGGTGGCGTTGAGCAAGGACTCGCTACCCTCTCTCTCTCTCCCCACCCCTCCCCCCTCTCCACCTCGCGTCCTTGTGCTCCCGTCCCGTGTGGTGCGTGTCGTGTGTGTGTGTGGCCGTGCAGGAGGTGGCTTTGAGCAAGGACTCGCTGCTGGCGGCGGTGAAGGAGGAGACGATGCGCAACGCGGACATGCTGCTTGCTGCTGCCAACACTCGCAAGGTCAGACAGACCCGTGCTGCCAACACTCGCAAGGTCAGACCGTGCTGCCAACACTCGCAAGGTCAGACCGTGCTGCCAACACGCGCAAGGTCAGACCGTGCTGCCAACACTCGCAAGGTCAGACCGTGCTGCCAACACTCGCAAGGTCAGACCGTGCTGCCAACACTCGCAAGGTCAGACCGTGCTGCCAACACTCGCAAGGTCAGACCGTGCTGCCAACACTCGCAAGGTCAGACCGTGCTGCCAACACTCGCAAGGTCAGACCGTGCTGCCAACACTCGCAAGGTCAGACCGTGCTGCCAACACTCGCAAGGTCAGACCGTGCTGCCAACACTCGCAAGGTCAGACCGTGCTGCCAACACTCGCAAGGTCAGACCGTGCTGCCAACACTCGCAAGGTCAGACCGTGCTGCCAACACTCGCAAGGTCAGACCGTGCTGCCAACACGCGCAAGGTCAGACCGTGCTGCCAACACTCGCAAGGTCAGACCGTGCTGCCAACACTCGCAAGGTCAGACATGGCATCAACCTTGTCTTGTCTAACCCTCTCCATCACCCCGCCATTCAACCCTTCACTCTCTCTCCTCCCCCCATCCCCTCTTCCCCCTTTCCCCATGCCTCCATTCCCCTCCTGTGTGCGGTGTTGTGAGGGCAGGAGTTGGCGGGGGCGGAGGCGCGGGTAGCAGCGCTGCAAGGGTCGGTGGCGGCACTGGAGGCGGAGGTGAGGCAGCAGGACCAGCTGCTCAACGACATCCGCGCCGATGCTGTCTCCAGTGCTGATGCCCTGCGCACCGCTGCTCAGATCAACCAGGTGGGTTTTGAGTCGAATCAAAAGGCATAGGAGGCGGAGTGAGGTAGCAGGACCAGCTGCTCAGCGACATCCGCGCTGACGCTGTCTCCAGTGCTGACGCCCTGCGCACCGCTGCTCAGATCAATCAGGTGGGCGGCAGAGTGGTTCGGATCAACCAGGTGGGCTGTTTGGTGGTGCAGGCAGGTAAGGCGAACAGGGTGAGAGTTGAAACTTGGGAGGTTAGGGTGATGGACGGACTGGGCGAGTGGAAGAAGCGATGAGGCACGAGTGAGTGGCCCAGTAGGCACTGCAAGGACTACAAGTGGTCATGTGAGCACCACGCTGCTGCTCACCCCTGGCACCCCCTGTGCCTCCCCATGCCTGTCCCCCTCCCACCGTGGTGGTGGCATGGCAGGACCTGAATGCAGCGAGGGAGCGCGAGGCGGAGCTGTTGGAGCAGCTGGAGCAGCGCGAGGCGGAGGTGGAGAGTCTGCGCCGCGACACCTCCGAGAACATCCGCGCGCAGCGAGCTGAGCTCGTGAGACAAGAAAAAGAGAGGGGGGGAGGGGGTGGGGGCAGCGCGCTGAGCTCGTGAGTCATTGGAAAGGGGAGGGGAGGGGGTGGGGGCAGCGCGCTGAGCTCGTGAGTCATTAGAAAGGGGGGGGGGGAGGGGGTGGGGGCAGCGCGCTGAGCTCGTGAGTCATTAGAAAGGGGGGGGGGAGGGTGTGGGGGCAGCGCGCTGAGCTCGTGAGACAAGAAAAAGAGAGGGGGGAGGGTTGCTTGGAGGGCAGCGCGCTCAGCTCGTGAGACAACAGGGGGGGGAGGGGGTAGGGTTTCTTTGCTCGTGAGTCATTGGAGGGCAGCGCGCTGAGCTCGTGAGTCAAGAAACGGGGGGGGGGGGGGAGAGGATTGTTTTGCTTTCAGGGCGGAACTTCTTGTGCAGCGCCCCCATCTATGTTGCACCTGACGCCCTGGAAGACGCGTCAAATCGGTTTGACGCTGGACGTTCGGGGAAAAAAAATTCGGGCAGCCCGAAAAAAGTTCTCCTGCGAAATTGACTCGCGATTTCATCGCGACCAGAATTGACGATGAAATTGACAACTGGGGGCCACGTTTTTTACCTAAAAAACGCAACCCTCATTTATTCCCCCCCACACATTTGTACCCATCCACATCTACTTCTCCCAACCTGGTCGACCCCCAACTAAACTAGAGAACCAGATCTAGGTCAGGAGTATTTAACTTGTGTGTGAGATTAGGAGATTTTCAGGATTTTCAGGATTTTATGGAGTATTTATAACTAAAGGTGACAAATGTGAACTTCTTGCATTCTAACCCCTGCGTATCCTTACTAGGCAGGTTTTTTTACCCCTGCCCGGAAAACATTTTTGCCCTGCCCGGACTAGCGTCAAGCGGGCGTCCAGGGCAGAGGGCACCGGGCGTCAAGCGTCTGGACGCCCCGTCCAGACGCCAGCGTAAAAAACGCCTGACGCGTCAGGCACAACATAGGCCCCCATTACCTCCTCGCTGCTTCACTCCTCTTCCCTCGCTTCCTGTATGCCCCTTTTCCAGCACTAAACCACCAATCCCCTCCCTTTCCCCCTCTCCCCCCGTCCCCTCCCCAGTTTTTGTGTGTGGTGCGACTGGCGGGGGGCAGGCACTGCGCGAGGCGGAGAGGAGGGCGCGGGAGCTGGAGATGGGGAGGGGGTCGCTGCTTCACCCCCACTCTCCCCACCCCCTCAAAACCACCACTCTCCCCACCCCCTCAAAACCACCACTCTCCCCACCCCCTCAAAACCCCCACTCTCCCCACCCCCCTCAAAACCCCCACTCTCCCCACCCCCTCAAAACCCCCACTCTCCCCACCCCCACAAAACCACCTCTCTCCCCACCCCCACAAAACCACCTCTCTCCCCACCCCCACAAACCGCCTCTCTCCCCACCCCCACAAACCGCCTCTCTCCCCACCCCCTCAAACCGCCTCTCTCTCCCCTTCCTTCCTCCAGGCGCTGCGGGAGGCGGAGAGGCGGGCGCGCGAGCTGGAGATGGAGAGGGAGTCACTGCGGCGGGGCGTGGCGAAGCGCGACCAGGCGCTGGGGCTCATGAAGAGGGAGCTCGAGCGCAGCGCGCACATGCTCTCCGCCGCTGCTGACACCCGCCAGGTGAGGCAGCGCCCACATGCTCTCCGCCGCTGCGGACACCCGCCAAGTGAGGCGTGCTGCTCACATCACACTCGCCGGCTGCTCTTTTCAGGTAGATGAGCTTGTGGAGCAACAGCTGTGCTGTGACTGAGGGAATTTCTTTGCACTGTGCCCCCCTTTCCCTCCCTTGCCATGGGATACCTCCCTCATGCACTCCCATTGTGCCCTCGTGCACTCCCATTGTGCCCTCATGCACTTCCATTGTGCCCTCATGCACTCCCATTGTGCCCTCATGCACTCCCATTGTGCGCTGGGAACGGCAGGCGCTGCGGAGCATGAAGGAGCAGATGGAGTGGATGCAGGAGGAGGCGCGCGTCAAGGAGGAGCGCCTGGCAGCGCTGCAGGAGGAGTTTGTCTCCGCGCTCAAGGGCACCACCTTCCCATCGCTGGTACACGCCTGTTCTGTGCACGCATGCATGAATGCATTTGTTATCCTTGGTGCTTCTCCTCGTATGTGGATGTGCAGCAAGTTTGCAGTTTTCGTAAACCTCACTTCGCCAGTGCTCATTTCTTTTCTGAACTGACATGATTCATGCAGGACAAGAGCATTCTAAAGCGAAGAAAGGTGCCGCCACAAGGGAAGTTGTCTGGAGATGCGCAACCCCAATCACCTGCCTGATAGCAACACTTACCTCCATGGCTATGGAGTGCCTGTAGCAGCAAGCATGAGTGCTTGGTTCCTGAGTATGTATGCAAGCATGTTGGTGATGCTAATTATCGGTGCTTGATTAGCATGTTCTTAGTTGAGGGTTGGAAATGTAGAAACATATTGTAGAGAGTTGCGAGCAGCTTTGGCGCGGATGCAATTTCCGGTAAGCAGCAAGAAATGTTCGACGGCTGTAAGCCACTCATCTGTA